CTGACGCATGTAAAGAATTACATATCAGCAAATCTAGTAGTATGTAATCAGTTTATTGGTGGCCTGTTCCTATGGAAGAGAACAGGACTGGGTAGAGGAGAGGGTGAAAGGCAAAGTTTCAGGGCAAAGAAGGGTAAGAAAAGCAAGAGAGGCTGGAGACCAGGGTGGCAAGCCCCTGGGCAGCCTGAGGCCCAGTGGCCAGAGGCCCTGTGGCCCAAGAGCCAAGAGCACCCTGAGTCCCCGACAGAGAGAGTGAGTCCTTTGTTCTCAGGACTTATATAGTTGATGGGATAGGAGGGAAAAAAGTTACATATTGATTAACATGTAAATGTGGTGCCAGCTTTCCTGGGGGAATGTGACTACCCAAACTTAGGTATGTGTGGGGGTCTGTTAGCCCAAATCCTTATCTTGCTCCAGACCCCATTTTTTCATCTTATTGTAAAACAAATATGTGACAGGAGGCAGTTAATTAAAATTGGGGCACTTTTCAAAGTTATTTATGGGCTCTTTCTGTAAGCATCAGGGACTCCCTCGTAAAACAGATAGTGACCAGAGGTAGGCAATTAACCAAAATTGTCTCATGGGCTCTTTCTTTGGGCACTGGGAACGCTGTCTCACATTCAGGCCTTGGGACGAAAGCACAGTTTCAAGGCTTTCTTTCCCAGATAGTGGAAATGTTACATAGAATTTCAAGGACTTTCCTTCTTTGTTGCTAACATCGTGTTTCTTGTGATGTTGGAACACCTGGCAATATTATCAGACCAGACTTAGGACTGCTGAGTTAGCCTGTGAGACTTGTCCCCTTCCTCCTCCCTGCCTTGGTTTACTATTTATTCTACCTAATTGGTAAAAGGAGTTTCCAGGCAAACAGGGTGCTAAGTGCTGGCCAGTGACAGTATTGCAGTCCCAGAGTTCTTCCTGTGCTGTCTCCTGCCTCAGTACTGTTACCTGTATGGTATATTAAAGAAGATGGCAGTGCAGAATGGTCACCTCATTAAAAGTAACAATCAAGGAATATTTGCCAGTAGGGTATGGATTTAATATGAGTTCTGAATACCCTGAACTGGCAATCAAAGCTTTCAAGTACAATTTATTATACAAACAAGTGTTCCTTATGTTTGTTTTCTCAAAAAACGAGTTAAATGTATCTGATCAAGGTTTCTCCCTTTCTACTGCTAAACCCCAGACAAAAGATTTCACTTCAGACAACTAATATCCATGTCATTTGTCACACTTAATTAAAATAATTGTGTTAGAATTTTAGTTTTTTTAGTGGAAATGTTATCCTTATTTTAAAATATGGCTACAAAATATAAAACAGTTCATTTATTTCTGTGTCATTCCACCAATCATTCCTGTCTACATAATTTAGGGTTGTGTGTATGTGTGTAACAGGCAGATTATTAGCATCTTTCTTTTACACCCTTACAAATGTTTATTGAGCACCAACCACATTACAGGCACTGTTATATGTGGTGAAGCTAGATCAATAAACAAAGCCCTCTCCATGAGGAGCTGGACTTCTAATAGTGGGAGATGGACCAAGGAGCAAATTTTCTTTTCCAAAAATTGCCACCGCGGTGTTTTCAATCTCTGCCTGCTTTTCTAAAACCTTGATACCACTCCCAACAAAATGTGCAATCAAATTCTCCTTCCTTTTAATGTGGGCAGGACTTTGTGACTGCCTCACCCATGGACCGCAGCAGAAGTGGTGCTGCATGACCTCTGACACTAGGTCATAGGAAATGCTAGGACTCTACCAGGGGTGTCCAAGCTTTTGGCATCTCTGGGTCACACATTAAACACACCAATGTGGGGGTGCTCTGCCTGCAGGGCCCCTCTGGCCACCACAGATGAGAATAAGTCTACCAAGACATGATCTGCTTGGGGAGGAAAGGTGGCTGATCTCTCAAAGAAGGGCCAAGAGCATTTTCCTCAATGGGCTTTTATTGGGTTTGTTTTGCCCAGGAATACAGGTAAAGCTCAGGAATCATTATCAGGCAGTAAGGATCAAACAATAGATAACATACAAAGAACTGTGAGGGCCTATTTTGAGTCAGGGTCAGATAGCTAAAGAGCCATAAAACTTTGAGGAACAAACTCACTTCTTGCTTGGACCCTTATCATTTAATTGAGAGCATTCTAAACAATCAGTTTTCACAGGATTTTACATATTCTTTCTTAGAGAATCTGCCCTTTCCAGCACAGGGCTACACCCACCACCGGCATTGTTTCAGGCTTAAATCAGGCAGGGGAAGTAAGGCAGCCAAGAGATTAGGAGACTTCTAGCAGGCAGAATGAAGACTCAGGCTACATCAAAGCCGGGGGCGAGGGCCCATTACCCGCTTTTGCTGTAGCCCCCCCAAATCCTTCCCTGGGGCCTCCCTGTGATTGTGCCTGTCTCAGGTCATTCCCCCCTTGGGGAAACTTACCTGTCATGTGCTAACCAATCAAGCATTGGGGGCCAGGCAGGGTGAAGAAAAAGCAGCAGAAGTGGCACTCCTGCCAGGGAGATAAGCTTTGTCTCCTTAGTGTTTTATGGGCTGAAGGTCACTCACTCAGCCTTAGCCCTGAGGTTACAGCTCCTGAAACTAGGCAGGGTGGTTCCCAACACAAACACTAATGAAAACTGATGAGTGAAAAAACGGTTTTAAGTAAATTTATGATTTTGTGTTGGGCGGCGTTCATAGCCACTCTGAGCTGCATGCTGCCCGTGGGCCGAGTGTTGAACGGCCCTGCAGATCCCTCTCAGGACACTTAACCTTGGAACCCAGCAACCATGCTGTGAAGCCCAAGTTCTAGGAAGAGTCTGCACTTGGGTGTTATGGCTGACAGCTGCTGCTAAGTCTCAGTCTACAGCCGTTTGTCAACCACCAGACATATGGGTGAATGGTTTTTCAGACAAATACAGCCCTCTGCCCTGCCACCACCCCGCTTTTCAAGGCTGCCATACAAGCTGACCTTGACCCAGAGAATCTGTATGCAAAGTAGTGGTGGTTTCAACCACTAAGTTTGGGGGTCATATTTATGCAGCCATAACTGGAGAGGCAACAAATACGTCAAATGGTGATAGGAAGGAAGTGGGGAGAAGGGGAGGAGAGATGGAGCTTGGGCAGGAGAGGTAGCCAGATCACGATTGCCGGGACTGGCAAACTACAGCTCCTGGAGCACTGGGTGGCTGTCACCACGGCCTTTCATTCACACAAGTCTGGCTTACATTTGTGCTGCAGTGGTGGAGTTGGGTAGTTGCAACAGACTTTTTTCTTTACAAACCTGTAACAAATTTTTTAAAATTTCATTTTTAAAGACTTTATTTTTAGAGATATGGAAAGGGAAGGATAGAGGGAAACACCAATGTACGAGATAAATCAACTGGTTGCCTCTTTCATGCCCCCAACTGGGGACCTGGCCTGCAACCCAGGCACTTGCCAACTGGGAACTGAGCCATGGACCTTTTTTGGTTTGCAGGCTGGCACTCAATCCACTGAGTTACACCAGCCAGGGCAAACTTTTATTTTTTAAACCTGAAGTGTTTTATTTCTTAATTTGAAGTAAACTGTGAAATGTTATGACTTGGCAAGGCTGAGTCTTGGGCATGTGGGTGTCATGTTACTCCTTACTTTTCTGTGTTTGATGTAAGAGTATGGCAGGGAGAGATGGCAGGAGCAGAACTCTCACCAGACTCTAGCCACCACTCACCTCTCCTCCAGCACCCAGGGCGGCTCTAGCTGTCACCCCGTTAGGTGGCACCCATGGATGAATTTCACAAAGATGGTGGGTGAGGGAGACACAAAGTGTTCGGCCCATTTTTCTGTCATCTCAATGGGTACGTCTGCTGCATAAAAGCACAGATGGACCAAGTTGAAAACTTGGCCTGGATGCCCAAGCTGTGTGACTTTGGGCAAGTCACTCAACCTCTTGTAGCTCAGAACAGCTGGTGATAATAGTCCCAGCGGCTCATAACCATGTTCTGTGGATTAAATGGGCTAATGCAGATGAAGTACTTAACACAGACCCTGCGATGTTTAAGTGCTTAAATTGTTAGCTTTTTACAACTGTGTACTAGGCAGCTGGTAAGAACAATAAGGTAGATCTCGGAGCTGACATGGAGTGCCATCCAGTGGGGAAAACTAGTTTACTGCTTTACTGGGAGAAAAAAGGAATGTAACACACACACACATTATTTTTGTGAAACAAAAGGATAAATCAGAAACAAATGACAGATTTATAGATGTTAAGGAGAAATAGGAGGGGAGGGAATGGGATCTAGCTCTCAGCATACATCATTGACTTTCTAGTTACAGTTTTGACTTTTGGAACTGTTTTCATATTTTAAAAAATAGGACAAGAAAAAATTTAAATTGAATTTGAACCAAAATAAAAATTTATATAAGATTACCATACAGGAAAAAAACAACAACCCTAATTTAAGGAACTGAGGATAGACTTGGCGTGCACACTAACTGTACGAAGAACTGAGAGATACGAGGACTCAGCAGGCACACTTACCAAATAATCAAAGTTGGCATCACTTACAGCGCTGCACTGAGGACCTAACTACCACCCACATAGCATCCCTGCCCACTGCGATAACCTCAGTGCAATTGAGGAAACAATCTGTCACACCCAAGTGGAGGGATGTTTTAAAAACCCGGCTTCTACTATTTAAGAATGTCAATTTCAAAAACTGACAGAAGGCTGAGGCACTTTAGAATGGGGAAATTGCTACAAGGAACAGTATTGGGATAATTCAGTAAAATGTGAATTGTTATATAACAATATGGAATCAAAATTCCAGAATTTGGTCATTGTACTGTGGTTACATAAAAGAACATCCTTTCCCTAGGAGATACTTTGTGTACTTGGCTGCACACAAAGATAAAAAGCAAGTAAGGAGAAATGTTGACAATGAGTGAATCTTGGTGAGAAGGCCTATGGGAGTTTACAATGCTGAACTTTCCAGCATGACCGAGATGTTTTCAAATTAGAGAGAGAGAAAATATGTCAGTGCTTAGTTTTATTATAACAAATAGTATTATTTCCTTACAAAAAAGCAATCTAAATGCTTGATCTTCGTGTATACTTTAAGTGTTAGCCCTCAAATTACCAAAGAAGAAAAATTCTGGCCTATTTAATGAAAGTGCCCAGAAGCTTGCAACCACATTTATTAAAAAAATATTACCACTTGGAAGTTCCCCTCATTCAATGTTGAAGATTTACTCCAGTGCACTGTTTGTTGTTTTCATCAGCTTCCCCTGAACATGGCAGGAACCCTGGCTCTCTGGGTGCTCACAGGCCGAGGCACAGCCAAATCCCACCACAGACCGCCCCCTACTCTCCACGGGAGTTGTGAAGCAGCATGCAGAAGCTGGGCCTGTTCTTTCCATCCAGATGGTTCTGGAACTGGCACAGTTGGGGGAGTGCAACACCAGAACTTCTCAGCAGCTGCAGCAGCTGTCCAGTTTGCCTGCGGACCTAGCGCTTCACCTTTTCTTCACAAACTTCTTTCTGGAAGCATTGGGATTTAACCGTCTTCTTCCAGCCCCCAAAGTGTTGTCTCGGACCTGCAGGATGGCTGACCGGCTGGAGATGTCGTTTTCTGCAAAGGGAGATAGCCCAGCTACATAGTCAGGGGCAAACACATCAGTTTTCTGCCGGGCCTTGCGGGAGAGTCGCAGCTGAGGAAAGCGCTGGTCCTCAGTCAGGTGAGGGTTCACAGCATATTTGCCCCCTTTGGGGTTGGGAAGTGAATACTGCAAGCAAGACAAAGACAGGCCATTAGAAGGACAGTGATCCGATTCATACAAGCCAGATCCCACGTCAAGCTTATCTGACAGCTCAGGGTGCAGGCAATGACATCAATGGGATCTCTCATTAACTGCCTACTATGCACCAAGCACATGACATGCATCTTCTCACTTGATCCTCACCTCTACTCACAGACGAAAAACCCAACAGAGCATTATGATTACATACCCTCAGCTAAAGATAGGAAAAATTATGTAAGTAAAAACTCTAGTAAGAAGCCCTGGCTGATATAGCTCAAGAATTTGAGTGCAGGCTGTGAACCAAAGGGTTGCTGGTTTGATACCCAGTCAGGGCACATGCCTGGGTTGTGGGCCAGGTCCCCAGTGGGAGCCACGTGAGAGGAAACCACGCACTGATGTTTCTCTCTCTCTTTCTCTCTCCCTCCCTTCTCTGTCAAAATAAATAAAATCAAATCTTAACCCCCACAAAAAAAACTCCAGTAAGGAAGTACCATTTTTACAATGGTACATATTAGCAATTCTGAAGCGATGACATATATTCTAGTGTAAAACAAATAAAATAGGGAAAATGGTGTTAATAAGGGTGTCATGAGTATGAGGGGGGTCTAGAATGAACTCTATGGTGTTGAGTTGAAACTGAAGTTATAAACTCATTGTATAACACATGTGTGTATTTATATACACAACATTTACCATTTCTGTCCACTGTGGGCTGAGATTCAGTGACACCCTAGACAATGAGCACACCCAGTGCCCAGATCTTTGCTTCTAAAACCCATCCCCCATATGGATGACCCAGAGCTGCTCAGAGAAATGGCTGACTCCAGGGCAGAGGCAGTGTAACAAGAGCTGGAACACCTCCCCGTGCCAGAAATAAAGTGTTTAAATAACTGGGACACAACAAAAGGGCACAGAAGCCACTTGACAGGCCTCCATGAACCGTCTGAGCATCTAAATAAGTAATGACAATAATGGATCACAGCCTACAGACTAAACAAAAATCCACAAGACCACACTCATACAAACATATTAATAGGGAAAATTCCTCTTTATAACAGAATGCCAAGTAATGAACACAGAAAGAATAATGGAATCAGGAAATCACCACTGGGCAACCAACCATCACTGTAAAAACTGAACCAAGTAACTTTAGCCATGAGTTAAAGCCTGATGAAAAACAGTATTCACACAGTATTAGAGTATCTTTTCCTAACTACCTATCACAAATAATAACTTTATAGGAAATCTGTGGCAAGGTTTGAATATGGTCCACTGATTAGATAGTAGTATTACAGCAATGCTAACTTTTTGTTTTATTTATTTTTTTAAAGGAACAGGAGGAGTCCACTGAATGGTTCCTCAAGTTTTATTTTTAGAGATTTTATTTTATTTATTTATAGAGGGGAAGAGAAAGAAACATTGATGTGCAAGAGATACATCTGGACATTGGTCTGTTGCCTTTCAAACACCCGCAACTGGGGACCCGGCCCACACCCCAGGCATGTGCCCTGACTGGGAAATGAACCAGTAACCTTTAGGTCCGCAGGCTGGCACTCAACCCACTGAGCCACATCAGCCACGGCAACTTCTTGGTTTTGATCACCAAGAAAACTGGACAACTGATTATCATCTACCTCCTGACAAGATGCACTGAGGATACTTCACTTCTAGTGTTTTTGCCAAAAATTGCACAGCCCGAGTCTAACCATGAGGAAAAATACTAGACAAACCCAAAGTAAGGGACATTTTACAAAATAACTTGTCTGTACTCTTCAAAAATGTCAAGGTCATGACAGATCAAAGGCTTAAGAATCCACTTCAACTGAAAAGTGACTAAAGAGACATGACAAGGAAATGTAATGTGTGATCCTAGATGGGGTCCTGGACCAAAAAAACAAAACAAACAAACAAACAAAAACCAACCTTTTTTGCTACAGGGGAAATTTATGGTCAAGTTTAAATACAGTCCATCGATTAGATTGCAGCAATGTTTTAATTCTCGATTTTGATGACTATACTACGGTTATGTAAGACAATATCCTTGTCTCAGGAAGTACTAATGCAGCTAGGGGCAAAGGATCATCGCGTGCAATTTACTCTCAGACAGCTGAGGACCCCCACACAGCAGCTCCCCCTTATCCCGAGGGGAGAAGTTCCAAGACCCCTTGTAGAGGCCTGAAACTGCAGATTATACCAAACGCTATTTCTGCCGTTTTTCCTGTACGTACATATCTACGATAAAGTTTAAAAGATATTAACAATATAATAGAACTACTGTAACAGTATACTGTAATAAAACTTATGTGACTGTGTTTTTCTCTCAGAGTATCTTACTGCACTGTGCTTACCGGCGAGGGGCAGGGCGTGGGCACGCTAGGTGGCATGAGGATACTGCAAAGGTGACTTGGAACACAAGCACTGCGATGCTGCGACGGCTGATCTGATGACCGAGCCGGTTAAGTGACTAATGGCAGGGAGCGTACATAGTGAGATTTCAACATGCTGCTCAGAATCGTGCACAACTTATGGACTGTTTACTTCTGGAATTTCCATTTAATATTTCCAGACTGTAGTGGACTGTGGGTAACGAATCTGCAGTACGCAAAACCACAAATGAGGGGGACTACTGTATGGCATGATAAAGCATACGTGGTAGAAGATTAACATAGAGAAGTCTAAGTGAGGGGTAGATGGGAATTATTTGCACTATTTTTGCAACTTTTTTACAAATCTAAAATCATTTCAAAATAGAAAAATTTTAGGAATTCTCGCACATCAGTGGCAGTCGCCACACCCGGAGAACTCAGTGCCCGGCTGGTTACACTCAGTCATTCTGTCTCCACCTTTTTCTCCAGATTCCTCAAAACAAACGCACGGCTGCTGCATATCCAGTCAGGTCTCTCTCTGGTGCTGAGCAATTAAAACCCCTCCATCTGTCCAGTCCATGAAGCTTCTGGAAATTCTGCCCATTCTCAAACACCTGTAGAAACCCCACCGCCAGACTGTACGTGACCTCCCTCTCTCTGACCCCACGCGCATTTGGCCGTCACCATTTATGGAATTCCTGGGTATTCTCATTACACTGCAGACTCCTCTAAAGCCTCCAGTGGGGGCTCTGTCGTGCACTTCCCCCATCTGTCTCCGCACCTAGATTACAGGCTGTCAGGAACTGTCTTGTAGAAACCACGAGAATTTTTTTCTGACCTCCATTCTTTTCGATGCTGGTGCTAAGAGGTGTCACTTTCCCAGGCTCAGCCCCTGTGTCAGAGGGCGGGAGACCTGTCACTCACCCGGAGGCCCCGTGGATTCAGCACCTTAGGGTTGCGGGAAAAGTGCATGTGCAGAGTTCCATCGTCGCTGACGGTCACAGACACTTTCTTCAGGGTCTTGTTTCCGCAATGGGAACAGAACACTCGGCTCATGTCAGATGTTGTCCTGGAGACATAAAAGGAGACGCTCTGTACTGGAGCCACAGGCAGCGGACCCTATCCCCAGGGCACAAGGTGAGTCTAGGACTCCAGGAGGAAAGGACAGCAAATGGGAAAGCCTACACTGCACTAGACACATCAGAGACCAAGGCCACCCAGCCTCATGCTGACGATATGAGCAAACTGCCGCTGCATTTCTCAGAAGGCAAAGACACCACAAGCAAGGATGCTACTATGAGGATGGAGCACACTGCTGCATTAATGTGACCCCTTACTGAATTCTGTCAGGCATTAGTCTACAAGTTTCACACGAAAACAATCCTATGGGGTTGCCACTATCTTCAATGTACAGGGGGGAAACTGAGGCAAGGCAAGGTAGCTTACTGAAGGTGACATAGCTTATAAGGGGAGTTACAAACCCGCAGTGTCTGGCTCCAGAATAAGTGCTCGTAACGTCACCACAGTTTCTCAAGGGGCACATTATTATAACTCTAAATGCTGTGTCCCCAAACGTGAGCCCAGGCATCACGCCAAGAGGCAGTTCTGGAGGTGCCAAGAATCTATTAACGAATTATACAGGAAGCACAAAAGCTGCTTTCGTCGAATGTGTGTGGGCGGTGAGAGCAGGCACCAGCGCCTTGCCTTTTTCTTGCCCACTAACACCCCATGGTGGACCTCCCACCTGTGCACCAGAGCAAATCCTGGGCATCGTTCCACCCATACACATTTCAGTACTTATCAAAAGAGGGGGCTCTTTGCTCCAGAACCCACATCCTGAACCCTGTGCCACAAAGATAAGGACCAAAAGGGCCTCCCTCGATTTCTTAGGTGGGATGAGGGATACACATGAATGAGGTAACAAGGCAAGGCTCTCCTTCAGGAAGTGTGGGAAGGGACAGGAAGAGAGGAGTGCTGAGTAGAAGGCACTGGCTCTGATGATCAGCGACTTACCTGAAACAGCCGTGGCAGCGCAAGATGTAGCTCCGGGCCTCCCGGATGAGCATGCCGTTCACTGCCAGCACGTGCAGCCCCATCTGGAGCAGAACATTCTGCCACCAACAAGTTAATGCAGAACTGAACTCAGAGCACAATTCGATTTTCTTTTAACCTCTGTATAATTACAGTTAAAGAACTTCATAAACCCTGGTTGGGCTCCCAAAGGGCTTCTGTTAAGGGAAGGTAAGCTTAGGGTAACTCTCAAGACATGCAAACTAGGACAAGGATGCACGTTTATCTCGGTGCTGGGGTCTGTGCTCATCATCCACTGCGGCCCCTCGTTACCAATCTCTCTTAACAGAGACATTTATTTTGTCAGAGCAAATACACTCATTTCTGGGCTGGAAACCCTTTCTATTTTCTTTAAGTACTTAATAGAGAAAAGAATGTTTACACACTGAAGGAAACGCATCAACAGATTATTAATAGTAAACATTAAAAACTTAATATCCTAGACATATTCTGTCACCATGATTCTCTAGCCTCCAAGCAGATGAAAAATCACCAAGGAGCACAGGCAACACATAATAGCTCCGCAGCCCCCCAACCTCTGAGGGACCACTGCCTGTGACAGGTGTGACACTAAGCCCAGGGCTAATTGGTCCCCATTCCACCCACCTGCATGGCAAAGTCTGTAGTCACACAGCCGACCCGCACGTCCTTCGGGACGGTGCACTGCTCAAAATCCCGCTGGATCTGCTTGATGTTGCTGGGCGTTATCCACCCCTCATCGTCATCACTGTCTTCATCTTTCCTTTCTTCAAATCCATTCTCTTCCTTCTCATCCTCACTTGCAACATCCTCACCTTCGTCAATCTGAAACACACATAACAGAATTCACCAACTCCCGGCCCACAGGGAACAGCAGGGGGAGCTAGTGTGTTGTCACCAGCAGGAGATAGTAAAGCAGGGCCTTACCAGCAGCTCCTGCAGGTCACACTCAATATTAGGCAAAGGGTTTCTCCAGAACATGAAGGAACTGAATTCAAGGTCCTCAGGCTCCCTGTCTGGGTGTCCGTGTTTTACTGTTTCTCGTGGGGGTTTAGGCTGAGATTAAAAGAATAATAATTTTAATACCTGAACACTAGTGGGTTACAGATGAAGTGATACAGGATATACAAGTCAGATCAGACAGGGCTGGCCAAATTATGATATTAGTCTACATAAATCTGGTTCACTGTAAACAATTTGTGGAGGTCTGACCTGTAACAGAAAGGGCACAACAAAACGATTTCTCTAAAGAAATACCTTTGAGGGCAGATGGAAGCCGGAAATGTTTAGAGGAGTTTCCGGGTGCTGAATCGATGAGCTCACTTTAACCTGTAAAAAGAAAAGTGACAGCTCTAAGTAAAGAAATACACTTTGAAAATTCAACATGGGAAATTTAAACAAAACAGGTGCTCCCTCTTGGGGAGCACGCCCACGCCTCTCCCTTCCCCCTCCACTTCCCCCAGGCACCTTACCTCTGCATTTCTCTTTCCTAAGCTCCAAGGGCCCTTCTTTCGCCTCTGTAACTTGTTTCCTGGACCTACGCAGCCCAACTAGCTCACTCCTACTACCCCTGTAACTTTCTAAATAAACTTTCTCTTATAGCTTGGGGGGAAAAAAAAAGAAAAAAAAAAAGTATTTTCCCTCGGTTAAGATACTCAATGTTTTAAAAAACTGGAAAATATATACAGTCACGTGCCACTGAAAGACAGGGGTACATTCTGGAAGATGGGTCATCAGGCAGTTTCCTCGCCGCGCTAAATCCAGGAGCGCACTTACACGGCCCGGGGCGGCCTAGCCTGCTGCGCACCCAGGCTATACAGCATGTGCTGTTGTGCATGTGGTTCATCATGGACTGAAATGATGTTATATAAAGAATTATTTGGCGATTCCACTACCCCATAATCACTTTGGGACATCTCTTTTTTTTTGTCATTATATATAAAGCTGTATGAACACCACCATCAATAAAGCTTGGAAGTATCTTTGGTTGCATCCTTAGGATTAAGTGCCTAAGAGTGGAATTGCTGGGTGAAAAACCAGGTTGTTTTAAAGCTTCTGATAAAAAAATACCTAACTCCTGCCCAAAAGGCTGTGGGAAAAGGCAATTTGTAAGAATGAGGAATAGATGGTACCAGCCAGAGTCAGTTTATGTACAACATCCCTGCCCCCCACCCCCAAGCATTCCACTGACACGCAGAAGTCTGCATCTGAGGCATCGTTTTTAGATCTTGTGGACTGAAGGACTCTAAACCTAGTTGAAAACAAGTTGTAGGCAGTTTCAATGAGTTATAGGAATGTGAGTCCACCATGGTTTTGGTGACTAAAGACAGAGGACATTAAGCAATTCTTTGTCAACACTATTTGAAATTAATTATTATAAGGTTAATTATTTGGCTTCCAAAATCCTCTGGCCTGGAAACAGCCCATGGGGCCCAGGCACAAATCTACCATTATTCTCTTCAACCTAGCTAAGGTGGGCAAGTCCCCAACGGCCTAACAGGAACCCAGAATTCTGAAGGTATCAAGGGTCTTAAAAAACAAACAAACAAACAAACAAACAAACAAACAGCTAGCACTTAGTGTTCTTGCTTTGAAAAGAACTGTTTCTACTACAAAAAAAGTGACAAATAGTTGATTTCATTTTTCAAATTTAACCAATCTTCCCAAGAACCTACAGATCAAAAGGCTGGCACACATTTGCTAATTGCACTGTATGACACCTATTTGGATTATGACCCAAGCAAATAAACTTTTAAAATTTTATAAAATTGGGAAACATGAATACTAACTGGTTATTTGACAATAGTAAGGAATTATTTTTTTAAAAGATTTTATTTATTTTTAGAGAAAAGGAAAGGGAGGGTGAAAGGGAGAGAAACATCAGCGTGTAGTTGCCTCTTAAGTGCCCGCAGTGGGGACCTGGTCCACAAACCAGGCATGTGCCCGGACTGGGAACAGAACCAGCGACCTTTTGGTTCACAGGCCGACACTCAATCCAGGGCAATATTAGGGAATTAGTAGTAGTAGTAGTAGTATTGTATACCTATAATAATGATTTTGTGGTAACTTTTTAAAAGACACATGCTGAGAAATATCTATCAGTGAAATACGATGTCTAAGTTCAAAAGGGCTGGTGGGTGGGTAGAGATGGAAACAGAAAGAACACGAGTTGATATAACTGTGAAAGCAGCATGATGGGGACCCTGAGTCCATTATACAATTCCCTCTACCTCTGTGTATCTGATACTCGCCATAACGAAGTTAAAACAAGATGAGCAATCCTTTCAATTTACCTTTTCTGGTTCTTGTTTTAAGTGTGACACCCCAACAAACTCTGCTTCCAACTGGTAGCTAAGTGCCAGGACTTGGATATCTGTGGCGGAGAGGCTGGGATAGTCCCCAGTCTTCTTTGAAAACTCAGTCACTGTAAACAAAAGGTTCTCAACTTCAGTTAGAGGCAAAAAGTCATATGACCTTAGATAACCATAATGAAAGATCGAAAAGAACTTAGGATCAATATGCCAAGAAAAACCTCTTTTAACACTATCTATTGCCTCATCTTTTTCCAATCATAGCTGACATTTGTATTTCCTACCCCAGAGATTCATGACAATTAGGTTTACAGTGATATCATTATTGAGTACAGATGAAGGAAATGAGAACAAAGTTAAAGTCATTCAAAGTTAGCATAATACTTGCAGATAGTAAGTTCTTTATCTATGGTAAGTTTGGGTATTATGTCAGAATAAGTCTCTTCCTTCCAAGTTCTGAAATTATTTTACTTTAACAATCCAGATTAACAGAATGGATGATCAGATTCCAAAATGCGATGGAAAGTTAATCCAACCTGTAACTATTGTAGTGTATGATAAAACAAAAAATATTGGTTGCTTTGTAACAAATATTGAAGTTTCTATGTATGAAACAAACATCCCCCATGTTTATCACATAGTAAATACCAGCTGTTACTACCATTATTTTCCTGAGACATCATTGATAAACACGTGCAGTAAAACTTTCTGACACATTAACAGAAAGATGTGTTGGAGCCGCATGGAACAGTAACTACACTGCTCACCTTTCCTAAAAAGCAGATATTAACAGAGAAATTCCATTGGGCACTTAAAATCTCTTCATTTCATCCCTCAACCAAGTCCCATTAAATAAATACTAGTACTTCCTTGGAAAGATTTAGTGACTTGTCAAAGATTTCCCTGTAAGTTGATGGAGAAACCTACAGAAGTCACAAACTAATAATGTAGCCAACATCTCCACTATCAGCCTCCAAATCCTAAAGATACTTCCAATCACTAGGACCTTTCCTGCGCATCATCACCTTGATTCCCAACAGAACAATACTAAGTCAAGTTTAGTTTTTATTTCAGGACTAATGTAAAGCCAAAAGCCATCCCCTTTCCACCCCGATTTTTTTATTTGAAGCCAGCCTCCACAACCAAAACAATTATGCAACACAATTATCATTTTGATCTTCTTAAAAGAATGGGCCAGAGTAAGAATCTGGGCTCTTCTATTTTTAACCCAAACAAACTTTCTGGATGCTTGCAAAGCGCTAGACACTATGCTGAGTGACAGTCATCATTTAGTTCTCCCAGCAACTTCTGAGGTAGGTGCTATTATTACTCCTGCTTTACAGATGAGGCAATAGGTGCCTAGAGAATCTGGGTGATATACCCAACGGTATAAAGCTAGTGACTGGCAAGGCTGACTCCTGACTCAGGAATCTTCTTTTCCATCACAATCTCCTTAGAACGTGTAGTTTCCAAACCAACTGTTGATAAAGTAGCCAGACCCCAACTCGCACCCGGAGCCAGTCGCATCTGTGCCCTGGGACCCAGCTTTGCACTCACCCAGCCGCACGTATTCAGGGCAGGGCTCCTTGAAACGCAGCTCGTAGGGCAGGACGGCAAGTCGCCTGCGCGTGGCCTTGTCCCGAATCTCGCTTACTACATCCCGGATGGTATAGATGTTCTTCCCAATGTCCTACAAGACACCGGCCCAGGTCATCACACCCACCAATCTCCCGCGCTCCTGCAGGGGCTGCTAGCCCAGACCCTACTCCTCCCACCCTAAAGCCTTGTACCTGCAGAGCCGCGTCCCGCAGGAAAGCCCCAGCGTCAGCCACAACGTGTTCCACCGGCGCCATCTTAGCCAAATAATCTAGAGTGCGCCTGCGCCAGCCCCTACGTACGGCTGGGGCCTCTGGGAGAGTGTTAAAGCTGCTGCAATTTAGTATCGCCTCCTGGCGGCAGACTCCGCATCTCCCGGCTCAGGCTATCAGGGCGCATGTGCCCTACGCTAGCAGCCCACCCAGGGGCTGTGGGCGGGGTCAAACTTGAGGGCGGGGCAGCGCAGGGATAGCTGAGGTCACACACCTCAGTGTCCCAGGCCTTGATGCGTTTTTGTACTCTTAAATATAAAATCTGTGTATATTCTCACTGTTAAAGTCAGTCAATACAGATAACCTAATTTAATGATCACAAGCCTATAAGGTACTGTTTTACAGTCAAGGGATAGCTGCTCAAGATAACTAAGTACAGCTAGTAAGCTGTACTTAGTTTACACCCAGACACCAAGACAAACCAACCTGGGGCCACTTTCTTAACCATTATCCTAGTGCAGTGATTTTCAAACTTTTTCATTTCATGGCACAAACTACTAAAATTCTGTGGCACACCAAAAAAATATACATATTTTGCAGATCTGACAAAAGAAAAGGTATAATTTTGATTTGTTCACAACAGACAGCTATTGTTTTGGCTGTTGTCATTTTTTAATTTGACAATCTAAGGGAAAAGAAGTTAGTGCCCCAGACTAAATAGTCAGGTATGTCATGTTTTAAAAGTTCTCACAGCACACCTGTTGAAAATCGCTGTGCTCTAGTGACCAATGCTTACATGTCCCCACTTCATTGTGAATATTTTGAGGCCAAGGGTCTAGTCTTATGTACTTTAATATCCTCACCTCACTTCCCTAAGCAAGGCACATTCAGTTATCGCTGAATTGGACTGAAAGGGGTATGAGATGTTGCTCAATTCCCTATCAAACCTGAGATTCATCCTTTTGAGATCTGACCTAATACAAAATCATGCTGGTGACTTTTGGTGAAATATTACTTGAGTTTTCAGTCACCAGTGTTCAGTGTTGTGTTATTATAAACCTTCTTTGTCAGTCTTAACCCTTGATTATAATTTATGCATTCTACTTAACAAAAGTCCTTCAGTTGCCCTTCAGCAATAGCCTAAATCCTTTTTCCTTCCCTACCCCTCTATCTCAACTGGTCTTATCACTTAGCCTCTTCAGCCTCCAGAGCCACTCACTGGTTCCTGCCCTACCTGCCCTGCCTGAAATAGCCCGATCAAAGGCTGTTTTTCTTTTTAAATTAAATGGGGTGGGAGGGAGAGAGAAACAACATTGATTTGTTGTTCCACTTATTTATGTATTCATTAGTTGATCCTTGCATGTGCCCTGACCAGAGATGGAACCTACAATCTTGGTATATTGGGACAAAGCTCTGACCAACTGAGCTACCCAGCCAGGGCCTGAAGGCTGTTTCTAATTTTTGAGTTCATCATATCCAATTTTTTGTTTTTTTATTTTTTGCTTTCTCTCTTCCTCTGCACAATTTGACATGGCTGCTCATCTCCTTTTTCTGGACTGTCTCTCTTTCCCTGACTTTGGTGGTATTTCAGAGTCCTGATCCCCTACCTCCCTAATGGCTTCTCACCCTCCCTAACTGGGCTCTTTCTGCCTTGCAAACAGGACAACCTCCATGTAACGGTCTTGGTCCCTTTGTTTCTCTAAGTTCTTTCCTTCAGCAATATTTTCTATCCTCAAGGCTTCATCTATCCCATTATAGGAATGTCTCCCAAATCTTTAGGTCTAATCTTTTTTTTTTCCCCCCTGCTAGGTTTCTGGGAACATCTTTCAAAAAACTTTTTGGCATTTTCACTTAGGAGGAAGGTTACGACTGAAGTAATGATCTCTCCCACCCCAGCTTGAACTTTCATTTGTTAGAGTTTCAATTTTTACTCATTGGCATTTTACTGATGCCAACAAAGGCATTCAAGATAAGAATCTCTGAGTTATCTTCATTTCCACCCTCACTTTCAACCCGTATCTCTCTTGCTAAACCTTATTGATGTTACTTCTGAAATGTTTGTGGTGCCTGGGTCCCTTCTACATTCATCCCTGTTACTCTAATGAAGTTCTTATCTCATGCCTGAAAAATGTAGTCCATTCAATACTAGTATTCCTATCTCTAATTTCTCCTCCTTCAGTTGATTGCTCCTGTTGCTCAAAAAGGAAGGACAGAACTTGACTCTATAATAAAAAAAATTTATTGAAATTGTCAGTGATCATTCTGTGAACCCTAAGATGGAGAAGATCTCAGTGGTTTTCACACTTAAGTGTGCCTCAGAATCACCTGGAGAGCTTGCAAACACAAATTGATGGATCTTAGTTTTTGATTCAGTAGGTCTGGGCAGGGCCTGAGATTTTGCATTTCTAATAAGAAGTTCCAGGTGATGCTGATGCTGCTGATCTGGAGGACACACTTGAGAACCACTGATTAGGGAAACAGTGAAAGAATGATCAGGCTTTGAACCATTCTGGTAAACACTAAGAATACTTATTAATATGTAGGCATACCTTGGAGATACTGTTGGTCAGCTTCAGAGCACTGGACTAGAGAGAGGGACATAATAAAGTATTGTAATCTTTTTGCTCTTGGGGAGGTCTTGCCTTCAATTTGTAGAAAATGCAACACTCTGTAGTGCAATAAAGCAAAGTGCCATAAAATGAGGTATGCCTGTAAAAGGATTCTTGACACTGTAGCTTTTATAATTTACATGGTGTTTTCATCTGTTTCTGCTTCCCTATAAGTCTCTATGCCCCCTAAAGCCCTAGAAGGACTTTCATTTATTTAACAAATATGTATGGACAGCTAATTTATTACATCACCCCACAGCTATGAACAGCTATGAACAAAGTGATATTTTGTGTAGCAACTAGGGGCACCTTTACAGTTTATGACTTGGGAGCCAGGTCTCAAAGGATGAGTAGGGCAAAGGCACCAAGGTATGCAAGTCCAAGGAGATGTTCAGGGAACTGGGGCTGGTGCCTGTGGTCACAGGGACCTGAGGACTGGGGCTCTCCGAGATGGGGTGAGCCGTAACACACCACTTTTTGAAGCTCCTGGTTTTTTAAAAAGTGAAGCAATCTCAAACACTATTAGGAAAATTGTGGTCAGTTTAAACAGTTTACATTAATAATATTTTCAAATTCATTGGAAGACAATGTATAATTCATTGGAGATAATGTCGCCTTTTAGATGTAAGGCCCTTTACAAAGGAGAAGGCACTGCTTCGGTGCTGGTGAAGATCTGAGTTCATTTCCAGGATTGGAAAGTGTAGAGGCTATGAGATTCTATGCTTAATAGTGGATTAGGGGAGAGAAAAACTTGATGCAGAAGAAACACTATGTGAAATCAGTAAGCATCTCTACCATTCCCCTGGATTTCTTGTTGCTGCCTCTGCCCTTGTTTATTCCTTGGTCTGAAAATTGTGCCTGCCAATCACTGCTTAGTCTCTAAAAGTGGCTCAATTTCTCCTTTGTAAACTGGTCCCTGATTATCCAAATGAGATTTTCCCCTAAGGACAGATCTGAACACTTCTTTCTCACTATACTTTGGACATTTCAGCTCTGGCTGCTGTGGCTTAGTGGATTGAGTGCTAGACTCTGAACCAAAAGGTACTAGTTTGATTCCAAGTCAGGGCACATGCCTGTACTGTGTGAGTCAGGTCCCCAGTGCAGGGTACATGAGAGGCAACCACACATTGATGTTTCTTTCCCTCTATAAAATTAATAAATAAAATCTTAAAAAAAAGACATTTCAGTTCTGTCACTCAATGAGCAGTTACTATATTATTTCTGCTTTGCATTGTAGTTAATTGTGTAGCTTCTTTAAGTAGGTTGGAAGTCAGGGACTAGTTATAGGGGTCTTTTCCTTAAACAAACATGTCAATTTACCTTTTAACTTTTGGGGGGCATTTTTATGATGACATACTTCAGATTTTTATGTGCCTTTTAAAAAAGTCTCATCTGTAGGACCTACAACGAGTTCAGTGCTCAATAAATGTTGATGAAATCTATTCATTCAGCAAAGTATTTAAAGAGGCCTCCTATGAGCTAGGTACTGCTTTAGGAACTGGGATATGCAGGGAGGGAGCTATGGAAGGGGAAGGAAGAGATGAGTTGTGATTATAAATAGGGTGATCAGGAAAAGCTTCACTGAGACAGACAATTGAGCAAACATCTGAAAGCCATGAGAGGGTGAGCTTTCCAGACAGAGTTTAGGTAAAGCATGTCCAAAATCCCTGCGGTCAGAGTGGCTGAAGCAAAGTACTGAGGGCAGGATTAGTTGGAGACAAGATGAGAGAAATAAAGGGGGAGTTATGGGGGAACGGTTTTATAAACCACAATATATACTTTAGCTTTTATTCCTTCCAAACTTAAAGACTCAATAATAACAATAATTAGTGCACAGTGCTTATGGCTAATTTGTAGTACTTTTAATCAATGGTGATTAAAGGTGAAAAACTGGGCCTTCATTCAACTTGCTGAAGCTGAAGGTCCAGACCATCAGTAAGGAATCTTGATTTTAATTCATAAATCTCTGTCTACTCTGTAGACTGAGAGAATGGGAGTTAGTGTGGTGTGGGCATTTTATCCACTCAGGCAGGGATTTTGAAGCTTTTCTGCTTTTGCTTTTTGTTACAAGAACAGATGCTCCACAAAAGCTGAGAGTTTTGTGTTTCTAGAGCCTAGAACAGTGTCTGACTCGTAGAAGGCATATTGTCGACAGATTTAGCAAATAAAAATACAAGGTGTCCAATTAAATTTGATTTTCAGGTAAACTTTTTTTAGTGTAAATATGTATGTCCCAGGCACTATTTGGGACATACACATTACCTAATGGTTTATCTGAAATTTGAATTTAACCGGTTCTCCTATATTTTATCTGACAACCCTACTAAGGAGCTTAATAAATATTTGATGAATTGAATGGCTTCTTCTCACCTGTAAAGTGGAGCCAATAATAGACCCGCCCACAGGGTTGATGCAGGGAGCTTAGGAATCGCCTGCCACTAGTGAATCCGCAATTTATTTGATTGCTCGGGAGCCGTCCAGCGAACGGAAAACACTTACACTTC